GTGGGATTGACCGTCACGTTATAACGCCCCCACGTCTGAAAGGGCGAGCATGTTTGGTGTGACGGGAATTCGAACCCGCGACCCTCAGATTGCGAGTCGAGCGTCCTAACCACCCGGGCATGCCGAGCCCAAAATTTTAATGAACCAACAAAAACAATTTTGAGAAAATATTTCTTAAACATCCAACATAAGGGGTTAAAATAGAATATTAATCGTTTTATAGTATATTGTATTTTTATTTCTTTTCTGACAAAGTAAACAAAGCCTACCTGCCAGGGGTGTGCACCCTTTCTGGCCGTATTACCACCAACAATTTTACCGTTTTCCATAATTGGTTTGGTCTTGTCCGGAATTCCCATCTTGGGTTGTCCACACACTGTAATGTACAGTCAAAATGAAAAATACGCATAATATAAGTGTTCATACGTGCGTGAAGAGTTAATGTTAATACAAATAAAACGTTTGTAGAAATATATATATATATATATACACTCTGTACAGATCCTATTTCATGATCGGACTGTTTTGTTTACCTGTTTATCTAATTACCATAAATGTATATTGATTTTTTCACAGTGGTTATTCTTTTCCCTGATATAGTTTAATCAGATTTTTTTCAGGCTTCTTTTGCACAAAAACAAAAGGAATTATGAAGATCTGTCTGATACAGTACCACTACTGCTACTGGTAATAAGTACAACTAATATATTGGAAAACAAATTAAGCTACTTACTTAGAGCAAAAGTAATGACTATGGTTAAATAAATATACTTTTCTTAAGTTCTTATTAATAAAGGTACCCTCGTTGTTCGATGTTTTCGGTCGTAATCCCAATATCTCACTAGAGATTTTGATTAATCTTAAATATTTTAAGCTAATAATGCAAAACAAATTATAATGAAATTCTATTAAAAATTAAATTAAAAAGTAATAAAATCAAACTCTCTGACCAATAGATAAGTGACAATAAAGGAAATGTAAGCACTTTCGAAATATTTACTTTCTTTCTTGAAGTGAGAATAGTTAGAAATAAAATATATTTTAAAAAATTGTTTAGAAATAAATTTAAAAAATGTTTTGGAAATCGAATGCTGGAAACTCGAAAAAAAATGTGGTATGGAGAAATGATGGCTATAACAAGACAAAACCACTGTCATAGAATAACATCAGTCACTCTCGTCAGTTCTTATACAAATGATGGCTATAACAAGGCAAAACCACTGTCATAGAATAACATCAGTCACTCTCGTCAGTTCTTATACAAATGATGGCTATAACAAGGCAAAAACCATTGTTATAGAATAACATCAGTCACTCTCGTCAGTTCTTACACAAATGATGGCTATAACAAGGCAAAAACCATTGTTATAGAATAACATCAGTCACTCTAGTCAGTTCTTATAGAAATGATGGCTATAACAAGGCAAAACCACTGTTATAGAATAACATCAGTCACTCTCGTCAGTTCTTATACAAATGATGGCTATAACAAGGCAAAAACCATTGTTATAGAATAACATCAGTCACTCTAGTCAGTTCTTATACAAATGATGGCTATAACAAGGCAAAAACCATTGTTATAGAATAACATCAGTCACTCT